CCCCCCCCTTTTCCTTATCACAGCTTGAATATGATGCAACACAAACAGTATACAGCAGACAAACAAGCACACATTGGCAGTTCCCCCTCCTCAAAATTTGTCCTTTTTCTTTTCATTGTTTCAAAAAGCCTTGAAACTGATATGATGCATTGATCAGCTCAAATATACAGCTAGACCAAGAAAGCAGCAAAGGCTGAAATTCAATTCTTTGGAAAAATAAATATATAAACAGAGGCAGAAAAGATACAAATTTTATTGCAAAATTTGTTACACCCAAATGATAAGAGAAAACAAGAACAAAGGTCTCTCCATTTACCAATCAAGAACTCAAAAAAAGACCACAAAGTTTAAATCTTTAGGTAAATAAAATAAAATAAAACTGACCCATTATGAAATTATATACATACATGATATATTGGATCACACAGAGATATAAGAGTCACCAAATTACCTTGAATTCATTCAACCAACCGGTTTGTCAACTCCTCAATTTGTATGAAAAAAGAACAAAAAAATAAAATTTAAAATAATGAAAAGAAATACAACAAGTAATTCTTTATTTGGTATATTATGTGGAAAGAAGAGATGTAAGGAGAGTGCTAGCTAATATTTTTATATTTTTGTTTGAATTTCAAAAGGGCACTAAAATTTTAGCCTAGAGCGGAATTAGAATTACTGAGTTGACTCTTAAGGAAGTGTCACTTCCAGTTCAGTTAGTAAACGATGTCGTTTTATATAACGCCATTTTTATTTAGGTATAATACCAATACCAATACCAATGAAAGAATGAAAAGTGGGTTTGGCAAGAAAGCATGTTTGATAAAACAGTCAAAGACTCCAAGTTGGAAAGTCAAATCTTTTCAAAATCCCAACTTGATTGGCTAGCTTCTCCTCATTGTTTTATGCTTTTGTGAATTTTTCTTGGACGGTTCGTGCGAACTTGATTATATGATGGGACAGTCCAGTACAATAAATATATAAGTAAAGAAGTTGAGTAATAATATTCATCCCAAATAAATGGACTTACATTAAAGTTTGATGGATGAAATTCTAATATGATTTCTCTATACCTTCCATACAACAAAAAAAATTAGAATTAGCTACGAACTTCGTCGCTAAATCGTTCATCATTAATAAAACTTTTTGATAATCTCGCCAAATAGGTTTAACGACAAATTTTTTTATTTAGCTACAGAATTTGTCCGTCGATAATTCATGTTTTTTTAGTAGTGTCACTATTTAAATTTGAATCATTCCTTTGGAGACATAATGCTTTTTTGTGGAAATTGAAGAAGGAAAGAAGAGGAATTGCAAGCATAATGTCCATTAGGGGTAGGTCCACATATCTTTGTTATAAATTATTTATATAAAAATAGATCGAGCCAAAAATAATGGGTGCGCTGGCAATATTATTTTATTGCAAGAACAAGAATATCTAGTGGTGTTTGATTGTTGGCAATGGCGAATGAACCTTCTAGTGAGGGACGCCATTTGATACTAGTAGCTTCATTAAAAAAAATCATTTTATATATGGAAATAACATTTTTTTAAGCCAGAATATGTATTTATATGCACTAACATCAATCTCATACTTAAATTATTTAAAAATTAAATAATAATAATAACAATAATAATAATAACAACAACAACAACAATAATAATAATAGAAGATCGATAGCGTTTACGCAAAATACAATAAACTAAGTATTTGACCGATGATTATCCAAATGTACTAAGATCAATTCACGAGTGGCTTCATCATGGAGTGGTTCAAACTTAAATTTTTGAAAATGAGATTCAAGTAAACCATCCATTGATTGAGTCAAACGTACCAATTAGTTAAAGTAAATAAATAAATTTTATAATATATATATATATATATATATATATATATATAGTGTCTTCTTGTACTTTCTACCATATAATTCTTTGTATGTAATTAAAAAAGGATAAAGCAAAAGTATATTCCCTTTTTGTTTATTGAAACAAAATCATAAAATGGTATCAAAACACGGACATGACAAATTAATAAGTACATCTGTCAAACTTATATATACAATAATACAATTATCTTATTGCATAGAATAATAAATCACTTCTGTGTTTCTTATCCCTTTTGTCTCGTCCCACAAATTATAAATATCCAAAATATGTGCAAGACCAAATACTTTCACTAACTCTAATAGAAATAAGATAACTAAGTGGTTTGTTTTTTTAAAGTTTATGAGACAAGCTTTTGGTCTTTGAACAATAGAAAAGTCCAAGAAAGAAGCACCAAAATATCTAAATATGCACAAAATGTTATTGTGGTTGGTCCACATATGACCATTTTTGTAATCAAACAACTATACACCAATATTTTGAATGTTTTAAGCTAGTCTATAGTTAGGGACATGAATTAGCATTTTCTATGTTATTTTAGGTTTGAAGATTATTTTACACTAAATGGTAGTGCTTGTGACTTAGGGAATCCTTAAATTCAGGAGCAAAATATTCAGCACTCAAAAACCTTTCCAAGTCATTCTTTGTTCTTAAGAGCAAATTCAAAACCTTCTCATTTGCATTTGCCTAAAACTCAATTCTCAAACTTATAGTTATGGAGTTTTTATCTCCATCTTCAACTTCTCCTTATGTGACAGCACCAACTAGCCCAACTTCTTACATGGTGCAGTACCATAGCGCTCCGGCTAGTCCAGGTAAAAAGTTTGGTAGTGTTACAACTGATGACGCTTGTGAGTTGACCTTGAGTGATTTTGAATTTGAAACGAGTAAAAAGTTTGATAATTGCATGGAGTTTGAGACGTGTGAGAACATTGAGCACTCCAAGGATGATCAGTCATGGCAAGAAAAACGAAGAGAGCGGGGTGGCTCACTCCCTGATTTGGCATTTGCTGATGAACTTTTCTCTAATGGTCAAGTCATGCCCCTTAAACTACCACCAAGGCTCCAATGTGACAACAATGACACGAAATATACTAGCCAACGATCGATTACATGTTCAACTATCGCTCCGAGTGCAATAGTTAAGTCTCCGTTTGCTCGCCGTAACGTTGATCCTTTCGTTGTTTCCATGCAAAAGGTGATGAATGAAGAAAATAGAGGGAGAAGTAACAATTCAAATCACCATAAACGAACAAGGTCACTCTCACCATTTAGAGCCAAAAATATGGAATGGACTATTGAGGAAATGAGACAAGAAATTGTGTCCATGACACCAATTCAACCTTCAAGCCCAAACACAAGAAAGCCCATTGAGTCTAAGGCCAAGGGAGCATCATATGGAAGATGGGTTCTAGACCATTCTATGACTATTGGGCCAGGCCCAAAAGAATCCAAGAAGCCCAAAAACTTGCTTTTTGGAAAGAAAGAGCCAAAGCCCAACAAGCCCACTTCAAATGGTGTTGCTCAAGAGTACTCTACTATAGGGGATGTTTTTGTGGAAACCAAAATGCAAAAATTCAAAGGAATGTTAGTGAAATATGCATCATTTAGAAAGGATAATAGTGAAGGAAAGATGAATAATCCAATATCAGCTCTATGGAAGCCAAATTACTTCAAGAAATTGAGTTTCAAGTTCAAGGGAAATGGTAATGACAATGTGAGTAAAAAGGTAAATGGAGGGGAGCCAAAGTTGGTGATTGTGAAGTACAAACCAGCACTTTGTTTGGGTTATGGACTTGAAAAAGCTTAAAGAAAGATATGTCTATCAGTAGTATTTTTGGTTCTTTATTTTGTCCTATAATGTAAACTTGAAACTTTCTTTATTTAGTGATAGAAAAGGAAGTCATAGGATTTTCATTTGATAGGATAAGTGATTTATGTTCCATATAGGGTTGAACAAATTTGTGAGAGTTTCTCTTGAAAGAAAAGTTTTCTGTATTATTAGATGTCATTAACAAACCAATCTCTTTCATTGATCAAAAGAAAAAAAAATTCAGTTATGAAATCGAGTTTTTGTGGTTGTAGTTATTTAGAACAAGTGCTTCTCCTCTTCATATGCCAGTATTTTCCCCCATCTTGTCCTCCACGGATGTCATTCTTAACTTGTCTCGAATAACTTTATTCCTAATCTTATCTATTATGCACATCCACCTTGATATCCTCATTTCTTCGACATGGAAATATTATAGACATGGAAATATTAAATTAGCTCATTTTGTATCTTTTTAAATAATGGTAGCTTGTGCGCACTCGACTATTAGCTCCTTTTTTTTCTTTATATATATATATAACTAAGCATCTATCCTTTCATTGATCAAAAGAAACCATAAAGGTGGTAAGAGATAAATCAAGAATCTAATTTCTTAGTACAAGAAGCTATACTAAAGCTTTAATAGATTCACTAAACAAATCAATCTGTAAACGTGGTAATTATTTTACAAACAATTTGGACTTGTGGAGAAGCAAATAAGGCAATCTCTGCAGTATCAAAATAACCTCTTCTAACTCCCCCACTGATCACAAACAATAGACATGACTGAAAAAAGGCACTGAAAATGCTAGTGGAAGTGAACTTCTAAGTTCTTGTGTAACTATTTCACATTCTGAAGGAACAAATGAGCTTTTGTAATGGTGATCTTTTTGCCAACAACAGTGAAGCATTAAGCGAGTAACTTCCAAATACTCTTTTTCAACTTACTCCAACGCATCGGTTGGCCAGAGGTGTCTCCACATAGAAATCTCTTCGTTGCTCTGAAGCTTCCGAATTCCTCCATAAAATCCATCAGCTTCATTTCCTTCTTCGCGATGATCTTTCCTATCAATGGTTGTTGTTCTCCACCGCGATCCAGGAGTATATTGATTGAACTCTAGAATTACAGTATCTGCAGGTACCACATTGATATTCAGAAACCATGACAACACACTAGAACGAAAAAGTTTCGAGTAGCAAGATTAAAAGGGATCACATTGGCGCTGTAGTGGTTCATAAGATCAAAGATATATAGTATTAGTTTTCTAGTACTGAATTGATTTTTCCTTAGAACAGTTCATATCTGCTAGAGTATGTAATCCTCTTGTTACTCCATTCCCCCGACCCGTTTTTCATTTACAATGTGAGATATTACACCTTTGAAACCTTACATCAAGTTTCAACTAATTGAAAGAGAGAACTTGGCTAAATGAGGCCTTAGAGCGAAATAGATATAGATGATTCGTATAGCTGACTTAAAAATGAAGAACAGTTTTTGATGGATTAAATGAAGGCTTGAGGACTTAACCATTTTTTAGGAGATCTTCTCAACTGACAGAAGGTGTTCAAAGTGAATGTACATTTATTATAGTTTGCTTGCTACTATTACTAAATGGCAGTCCGGTGCACTAAGCTTCCGCTATGCGCAGGGTTCGAGGAAGGGCCGACTGGACCACAAGGGTCTATTGTACGCAACATTACCCTGCATTTCTGCAAGAGGTTGTTTCCACGGCTTGAACCCGTGACCTCTTGGTCACGTGGCAACAACATTACTAGTTACGCCAAGACTCCCCTTCCTACTATTACTAAAAGATGAGTTTAAAATCTATGTAATATTTAATGGGTGTAGAGTTAGGGGCAGAAGTTAATCTTTTGAATTATGAAAGATCTTGACAAACTTCACAAAAGGAGAGTAGTGTTTGAAGCAATGCATGCTGGTGTACTAAATGTGAAACTAGGACTTTAGGATTCACCAATATCAGTTGATCCAAGAATAGTAAGACTGAGAAAATAAAAAATCTTGGATCAATACAATAATCTCAATATTAAAAGGCAGAATAATTCCAGCTCCATAAGAAAGAATCATAGGCTGAGAGAATTACAAGTCTCTTTCAGTTTGCTTATCATTAAATATGCTCCACTGAGACGGCACTTATGATCATGTTGGAAGAAAAGATGACAAACTGAATAGGACTTTGTCTTGGGGACCAATTGTGTGGCATAAAAGATGGGCCCACATGCAAAATGAAGGGAAGAAAAGGTTTATTTTGTGATAATGAACAATTGACAAAAGAGAACAGATCGGTACACTAAGCTTCCGCTATGCACAGGGTACAGGGAAGGGCCAGACTACAATAGATACGTAGCTTTACCCTGCATTTCTACAATAAACTGTTTTCACGGCTCGAACCCGTGACCTGCTAGTCACATGGAGGCAACTTTACCAGTTACGCCAACGCTATCTTCGATAAGGATGAATTGACAATTTCATCAAAAAAATTTAAAGATGTAAAGCACGTAGACTACAAACAAGTAATGTGTCATACTCAAATTATATTCACAGCTAAGATGTCTCTCCTATACATGTGTGTGCGAAAATCTTGAATGTAAACAACTAGGCAAGTCCACAAGCTTTTGTAGGTCCACCCTTTCTTCGGATGGTTAATAACAACAATAATATCGATCTAACCATAATATATGTCTTGTTGTTCTAATAGTGGACCACAAATGAGACTTGTGATCTTGAATTTGACATGCGCGAACGGGAACTGATGTTTACGTTTCTTGAATTTTGGCCCGTTTAGTAATGGAGTTAGTGGTGTACAAGTATATAGCTAAATCTTGGATTTTAGCCCGTTTAATAAGACAGTTGACAGATAAGTGGTAAGTAAAGCTACAGACTAGATTCTCCAACTTAGTGTAAAAGTATATAGCTAAAAAACACTACTAGCTATAGTAGATGTGAAAGGGGAAATAACTCACCACTATCATGACAACGGCAGTAAAACTCATTTCCATCACATGTTTCCAAGTGGCCTACAATACCATACCACCAGCCTGCAAAAGTATGCCCCAAAAATTCAAAGATTGCAAAACCAAAAGATAGATTTGTTCATATCTTCAAGATTCAAACACCAATCAAAGTAAGTCACGTTTCCTAGAAAGAAATTGACAGTGGACTCAAATCAAAAAATAGGAATCCTAAGTTTTTGTTGATCAACTGATGCAACTTTCTACCAAACAAGAAAGACTGGCCACCTTCCATTTGAAAAACAATGACTTTCTCCAATTCATTTTATACTGACCGCGATTGGCTTTTTACACGTACCAAAAGAATCTTTAGAGCTTGTAATTTGAATATTTCATGACATTTCATTAATCATAAGATCATATACAATGGAAGAGATGAGTAGGAACTAGGAATTAACTGTTCATAGCACACCCAACATGTACTGCTGAAAATATATCCCCAAATTCATCAATAGTGAAAAAGTTCCACTATGTCCATCAAAAAGTTGTGGTCAATTAAGGCAGGCTTAACAGTTGAACACGTTTTGGGAGATCAAGAGAAGGGGACCTTACTTGAAAAAAAGAAAAAGATTCTAACAAGTTGGAAATAGGACTAGGATTAGTCCTCTTTCCTAGATACTACCAGGAAGTTTGTTTTGTAACACATCATCCACAATTAAGGAACATTAGAATAGTAGCTGACTTCACCAAAATAAAATAAAGGGCAGTCCGGTGCACTAAGCTTCCGCTATGCGCAAGGTTCGGAGAAGAGCCGGACCACAAGGGTATTGTACACAGCCTTACCCTACATTTCTGCAAGAGGCTGTTTCCACGGCTCGAACATGTGACGTTCTGATCACATGGCAGCAACTTTACCCGTTTACACCAAAGCTCCCTTAGACCAAAATACAGTATGGCAAAAAATTACACTAAATCAAAAAGAATGAAAATGGTAGAGAATGTTGGAAGAGTTAATGGAGGAACAAACCATAAGGAAATTCTTTGTTTCTTCTCCATTGAATCTCAATGTGATCACCAGGGCATAATTCAGTTAAGCAATCAGAGATATAAAGATCATGTGGAGAAGTATCAAGAGGGGGAGCTCTTAATCTATCCCATGTTACACCTGTCTCTATTGCAATTGCCCTCCTTCCATGTGGAGGATATCTGCAAAATAAATTATAGAAACAAAACTAATTTTTCACAACTCATTTACATATATTATTACAACAAGAAAAGCATTTCTTGAACTTCTAATTTCATATGTAGCAAAAAGGAAAGTAACAGGAACTTATATCTAACTTACAATCAGTGGCCGGAGTCAGTGGACAAAGCCGGAAAATTACAATGTATAGCTAGGTCAAAAAATTATTTTCATGTATATATACTATATGTTACTCCCCTAATTAGCCTCTTCGTGTATTTAACTTCTTTATATTTTGACACCTATTAGTGAAATTTATGGCTCCGACACGGCTTACAATGACAATTCCACTGGTTTTAGCCCACAAAAAGAGGAGAAACATTTAAGAATCAAGATTTGTGAGTATATATTTCCAATTACCTAGCCTGGAAAGTGTCAGTTCTTAGATCATAGCTAAGCTCAGCATCATAGCAAGATAGCATAAAACCAACATGCCCATTCTGCAAATTAGAAACAGAGAAAATAATCTTATTAACAGTTACATTTCACAAAAGGAAACGATTCAAACTGAAGATTTGAAGGAAGAAATTTGATGATACCTCTCGATTGTAAACTTGAGCAGGGAACCAAAACTTGCCAGATTCAAGAGCAAGATACCAAGACATAACTGAATCAACAGGTGGTGGGGTATGTTTTTTCTTGATACTACTAATGCTAGAATTAGATCTACTAACTAATGAAATAGGCCAAAACTGAGAGAGGTAAGTCATAAAACCTCTTTGTTTAGCTTGGTTAAAGAAACTTGAATCATTTCTTGAAGCAATACGCCACTGCCATTCCCTATAAGCAGCAGGTCCAATAACTCTACCCCATTTTTCTTTCATATGTCTTTCCCAAAGATAATCACTTTTGCATTTCTCTTTCAGAAAACTACAAACACTGGCCATATTGCAAAGTCCCTCAGGGGGGAGCCTCTCAAGAATACAATCCAAAGCCAATTCAGGCAAATCAAGAACAGACATTTCTGAATTTCGATCAACATTCTCTACTCTAGAGCTGAAACTCTTTCTCCTAAGTGACATTCTTGAAATAATAAAAGGGATAAAACCAGCTTCCAAAATGCTTTCTTGAAAGGTTTCAAAATCAAGAAATCTTTCCAAAAATAGATTGATAACAATCTGACCTCAGAACTCCATAAGGGAAGTGGTTTAAGGGAAAGAGACTTATAAAGGAAAGTGATGAAGGTGAAGCAAGTTATCAATAAGAAAAGCATTTGAAAAAGGTTTTTGATGATTCAATTTAAGCATAAATCATGTGGGGAGAAGATCAAAAGTTAGGTAAATAAATAGAAACTCATTTGCTTTTACTCTTTCTTCCTACTATATAACAATTATTAAACTACAACTCTACTTAAAAAGGAGATAAAGGGGATCCCCACCAATCCCTTCCAAAAATACAGGTTTTATCCTTCTATTGGTTTGATGAAGCCCACCAAAACAAAGAGTGGGCCTCACCAAAAGTCTAACAAGATTGACTAAAAACAAAGCTTTAACTAAATAAAATCTATTACTATATACACAATCCTTTTACTCTTATGAGCAAAAAGAAATAAAACAAAGGATAAGTGGTCACATAAATTTAGACACAACAGCAAAAGGAAAGTGGAATACTTCTCCTCTATTTATGTTGTTCTCAAATTCCCATATCAATAATCCAGTAGAGAGTGCAAGATCAGTTCATATACACAATAAAGATTGGATTTTTTTTTTCTTTTATTGTATTCTAAGATGGGAAAACAGATCTGATATGGGTCTCTGACACCTGGAAAAATCCCCAAATGATGAAAAAAGTAGGAGATAAGTCCAGATACAAAGACCCCTCCTTTTATCAAAAATACCAACTTTTTATAGTACAAATTTATGGGGAACAAACAAAGGTCACCAACCTCTTTCTTGAAAAAATCAAAGATTGTATATTGAAAAACCAAAACTATGTGATTTTATTTATTTAGACTCCCAATTGAGGTAATTATACAAAGGCAAATGAAGAAGAAAATATGGAGATGAATGTAAAAAACAATAATGGATGATTGAAGTATGGAAGTTTTAAACAAGTGGGGTTGTCCCTTTTCAATCATCCACCTAAATTCTTCATCACAAAAAACAAAAAACAAAAAAAATTGACCACTACCCTTTATTTTTCTCACTATTTCTTGGAAGTAAGGGACAAGAAATGGTAAGTTGAGCAAAGAACCAATGAAAACAAGGCAAAAACAAGAAAGCTGAAATGTGTGGTTTATAGTTGAAGAGAAGCTTATGGATTGGTTAGTTTTATTTTGTTATTTTGTGGATTTCAATGCAAAAGTTTTGGATTTGCTCTCCCACAGCAAGTAGCACCGCCCAAAACACAACACCCCTATTGGTTACTACTAACTAACATACACACAAGTGGGAGGAAATAGCGGCTAAACCAGTAAATGCAATTGTTGGTAGTATTATGTGTTATTCTATGATGCAAAATTATAAAAGTAACAATAACAATAATAATAACAAATGCAATTTGGTGTATTAAGTGGACGTTTGGATATAAGAATTGTGAAATTTCGGAAAAAAAAAATGAAAAAAAATTTCAAGTAAAAATTGTATTTAAAAATTAAAGTTGTGTTTGGACATGAATACAATTTGGAGCTGTTTTCAAATTTTTGTACGTGGTTTAAAGTAAAATTTTGAAAGACATCTTTTTGGAGCTTTTTAAATTTCCTAAAAATTTCAAAATTCAATTTCAAGTGAAACTTGTGCTTTTCATGGCAAAATACTGATTCCGAAAAAAAGTAAAAAAAAATCGAAAAAAGTATTTTTTTTTTTTATGGCCAAACAAAACCTAAGTTCCATCATGTGCGAGTACGAGAAAGTTCATGTACTTTTGGTGAGAAGCAATTTGCTTTTGGCTAATTTACTTAAAAGGCACTTCTGAGCAGCAATTGGTGTTTTGTCAAGCTTTTAAAAACTTATTCTAAGTGTATTTTTCTCAAAATTGCTTTTCAAAAAAGTATTTTTGGAGAGAAACTATTTTTTTCTACTTCTGCTTCTACTCAAAAGTACGTTTTTTCCCTCTAAAAGCTTGGCCAAACACTTCAACTTTGAAAAAAAAATACTTTTAAAAAAAAGTATTTTTGGCTTGAAGAAGTCTGGCCAAACAGACTATAAGTCTTATGTAAATAGTCTTAGCTTGTAATTTTGCCGGAAAATTCATGATCTCTAGCTCTAACAGCGATAATTTTTACTGTTGCACTAATAATAACAATAATAATAATAACAATAATAATAATAATAATAATAATAATAATAATAATAATAATAATAATAATAATAATAATAATAATAATTGAAAGGTGAGAGTGTAGCTCATCTACAGCTACAACAAGATTGATGAACTTATATGCCTAATTCCACCAAAACCAATCGTGAATTTTGTTTCCTTTTTTGGGTTTGTTGGCCAATGCAAGCAAGAATATGTACTCCTATTTGGTTTCAAAACAGAAAAAAAAAAACTTAGCTACAATATATGCTGTCTATATATACTATATAGACTTTATCTTATATCAAGTCTAAGGCTCTTTTATGATTTTTGTGTATAACTATATGATGTTTTTTAGCCATTGATTTCATTAATTCAAATTTATGCTGCATGGTGAAAGAAAAAAATTTGTGCCGTGTAAAAATTATTAAAAATAATACTCATTTTCTACCAATGATTTCTCTATTTTCGTAGCTCGAACTCAAAACTTTGACTAACGGTGGTGATCTTTTATGATTAAGTGTACTCTTATATTAGTTTCTTTCTTCGTTTATTGTAGGATTGTTCGGGTTTACATTTATTGTCTAAAATAAGAAAATAATTTATTGTTTATTTAATTAATATAACAATATTTTTATTTTTACAAGGTAAGGGTAATGTGTATATACACACTACTCGTTTCAAACGTTACTTGCGAGATTACACTAAATTTTTTTATGACCTTGATTGATTAACTTAGAGGGAAAAGAACGAGAAATGCCCCTAGTAAGCAAGATTTGTAAGAAACAAGAAAGTCAAAAGGGAACTATTCAATTAATCCATCAAAATTTCGTACTCTCCAATCAAAATTCAAAAAAGCAGTCAAAGTCAACCTCTTTCTTATGAAAAAAAATCATCTTTTCTAAACTCCCTTTGTGAAATATTAAAAACAAGTAAAATATGACCAAAATTATATCCTTATTTTGTTAAATATAAATAATTCTAATGGAGAAAATGAATACAAGTTTGTCATCGTGACTAAAATCATAAGTAATTTGAAACAATTACCTCATAAAATTATATCGTAGATATTATGCGATTAAAACTTATACTATAATGAGTACTATAGTGAAATACAAATTCAAAGAAAGAGTATTATCTTATGGGGTAAATTTCACAAATTTATATATAACTATGACTTTTTTCACCAAAGTCATATAATTTTGTTTTCTCACACAAAAATTATATAACTATGATTTTTTTTTCACAAAAGTCATATAATGTTGTTTTCTCACACAAAAATCATAAATCTTTCACTAACTCACATAAAAATCATAGAGGTTAAAAAATAAATATTTTCTTGCTTTATGTTTTTTTATTTTTTATTTTCGGTCTAATTAATAATTACCCAATAAAAATAGGAAAAATATGAGTATATTTTTAGCCCTCCCAAAAATAATAGCCGATAAAATATTTTTTATATATGTGTGTATTATATACATATAACATACACATTCTATATATATTTTGGCTAGCAATGCCATTAGTTTCGACCAGTCAGTTAATTTTATATTTTTTTCTTAAAATAGGAATGACCCAACCGAGCCTGACCCAATAACCATATATGCAAGTTAAAATAATACGAAAAGTTAATTCTTCCCCCATAAAAAACTTAGTTCGGAATGCATGAGTTTCTAACACAAAAATAAAGAAATAAAACGTATAATTAGACAACACTTGAAATGAAAAAGTTATCAATTTCAATAAAACTCTTGAAAAAAGAAGAAGATAGAAGTATCATATTTTGAAGAATTTACTATTCACATTTAGTATTATTTTTATTATATATATATATATTATTGGGTCGGGTGGGCCAGGTCGAGTTGGGTCATCCCAATTTTAATTGGATTATTATTTATTAGACTGAAAATAAAAAATAAAAATCACAAAATAAGAAAATACTACTGAAAATTTATATTTTTCGATCACTATGATTTTTGTGTGAGTTAGTAAAAAAAGACATAGTTATACGATTTTTGTGTGAGAAAACAAAGTTATATGACTTTGATGAAAAAAATTATAGCTATATGACCGTTTGTGAAATTTACCCTTATCTTATGATTTTAACTTTTTCAACACTAAACTTAAATATTTTCCTATTTGTTAAGAGAAAGTCATAAGTATGTTAACGCTAACAGCTTGTTTGGATGGTTGTTACATATCGTTTTATGATGTATCGTATTATATTGTATTGTATCGTTTAATGAATACAATGTTTGGATAAAATTATTTTTAAAAAAATATTCATGTGAAATTTAATTTGCAATTATTTGGACTTGCTGTTGCCAGCCTAAATCTTAGGAAGCAACACGAAAGATCTTGCTAACATCTTAGATCTATACTCGTTCGTGTGAATACAATTATTCTTTAATTTATTTATTGGTGATATATCAATTTATTATCCCACCAACCATATCTTATATCTCAATAATTATATTTGTCATGCAACTCCACTTTGTATCTGAACTACCCAACGTGTTAGCTTTTTCTCACACGCTATTATGACATCAAGAACTTAATATAGTTTTATTTAAGTTTTTCACAAGGTAGAATATGGCCAAAATGGCATAGCATAACGGCGATTATTGAAAAATAGTCAGTGTTTGTAAATCTATTGAAAAGTAGTCGCTATTTAAGGCGGAGATAAAATATGAACATAAGTACCCTAACTGAAACACAGAAAGTTTCAGCATAACATGTTGGATTATGGAACTCCTGCATATAAACTGCGAGCATATTATATTGGAACTCTAGCACATTATGAATTCCACCTCATTATGATGGAATCTCATATATAAAAAATTCGAACTCCACCATATTATGCTGGAATTTTTCCGATTTTTATGTGTGTTTTAGTTAAAAAAGTAGCTAAATTTTAATTATTTTTGAAATTATGGCTAATTTTCAATTAGCAGTGGTAAATCAGACTATTTCTGATTTCTTCGCGTAGAATACAGAGAGAGTACTAAAGGTCTATCTAATTATGTTATTAACCATGTTAATAAATAACCCGTTTGCAGCTATATTTAGTGTAATATAGCCACTAATGTCTAGATATGCCATTTAGTGTAGTATAGAACACAGCCACTTTGAAAATGTCATGGTAGAACATATATAGGGCCCATTTGGACATAAAATTTGGTTAAAGTTTTTTCCAAATAAATTTCACTTTTTCTTAAGTCAGCTGTCTCGATCCAATTTCACCTATAGGTCGTGATGGCGCTCAATACTACAGTTAGGCAAGCCAACTAATAAGTCATACGTACATTGATTAAACTTTTATTCCAAGAAAATAATAAAATACCAACTTCTACCAATGTGTGTGTGCCAAGACCCGGTGTCATAAGTGCATGAGCATCTAGTAGATTATACAAAACTCCAAATACTGTCTGAAATGAAATAGACAGAATATAAATATAAGAAGAGACACTGGTAGCTGCAGAACGGCTCAGAAAGGCAGCTCACCACTATGCCTCGGGATGACGTGGGTATGTGATGATAGGTCCTCCACTAGTACNNGTCCAAGGATTTTTCAATTTATTAATTAGCTTCTCAAGCTGAAATAAATTATTAAAGTATCCTGTAATTATTATTATTAAGCACGATTTCTGCCGAGGACGTACGGCCCGATCCAGAGTGTCGTGTACACTGCCGAGGGACGTGCGGCGCGATCCATAGATGCATCTATCCTACCGAGGCGTTCGGCCCACTCCACAAGAATGGAGGTCATTTTCTTATGTGCCTCCGGAAGGACAGTATGTTTATTATAAGATAAATTTGGAAGGAGAAC